CAATATTATACATCTCCAGGGCTGTCATGGGATGCGATGTTGCGCTACACCAAGGTGGAGTTGGAACTGTTGACAGATATAGATATGATTAATTTCTTCAGAAATAGTATACGCGGCGGTATCAGCCAATGCGTAGAAAGAAAACATATCGCCAATAATTAGTATTTATCTGAATATAATCCTTTCGAGCCGAAATCTTCTATACATTATATCGATGCGACAAATCTCTATGGGTATAGCATGAGTTAGCCTCTACCCACGGGGGAATTTGTTTGGTTATCGACTGAGGAAATTAATCAACTCGATGTTATGTCAGTTGATGATCTCGGGGATTATGGTTATGTATTAGAAGTTGATGTAACATATCTGTATCACCTTCATGATAAACATACCGATTTACCATTTTTAGTAGAGAATATAGTTCCACCTAATTCCAAAACAGAAATCTCCAAACTGGTTCCCAATTTGAATCATAAAGACAAATACATATTACACTATAGAAACTTTAAACAGGCCATAAATAATGGGCTAATTGTAACTAAAATTCATCGCGCCCTCAAGTTTAAGCAGTCTCGTTGGCTGAAAAAATATATAGATCTTAATACAAATATGAGAAACAATGCTAAGGTCACATCCGAGAAAAATCACTTTAAGCGAATGGTCAATAGTGTGTACGGGAAAACTATGGAAAATGTGGATGACAGACGCGATATTTACCTTAAAACTCACTGGGCTAGTAAGAGAAATTCTCCGGGGGCAAACAACTTAATTGCTAGACCGAATTTTAAGTCTTGTTCCATATTTTCACAGAACTTTGTTGCTATACATATGGGTAGAACTAAAATATGTTATAACAAACCAGATATGTGACAATCATTTAACTTGTCATAAAACTCATCTTTTGAAGGTAAATTGGGGTGATCTAATTTCATTATATTATCTATGAAATTATATGGAAACACCCTTTTCTATCTCATTAATTCGAATTTTTCTTTTTCTGCAAAACATTTTTTTGTCTCAACAAAAAATTCCGATGGTAAGTTTACTAACAACCCAACCAACGAATCCGCTAAAAATCTGTAACTATCCAAAAATCTAAGTTTTATGTAATTTTTTCTCATCATACCATCTCTATCTACATAGCTACGGGTGTACAATGGTTTAGTGAACGAAATATATTTTTCTTTATTTTGGGCAATAACTTCGGCCCTCTCACCTTCGCCATATAATTCTTTAATAAATAAATGACAGTCGTACCCACTCAAATTGTGAAAAAATATTGGAACAAATTGCGGGATTTTATAATTTAAATTACAATTACTATGCGCGGCACCAGGTGTTTTCTTACCGGTAATATGACAATGATCTCTTACTTTAATATCGCCTTCTTGAAAGATCTCATCGCAAATAGAGCATATAGTCGATGTGTTAAAATCTTCTATTTCGGCATTAGATAGTTGGTGTATAGGGACAATGTCTTTTAAATACGTATTATAAATAGTCAAAACATCGTCCTCTAACCGTTTCACGAAATCGCTACCGGCATTATCACCCGTAAAAGTTACAAATTTCGTCAATGAATTATCAAATGAACATTTAATTAAATATGCGAAAGAATATGGCTCATGTTGGTATGTAGGGATAGTAATTTTTTTTTCAGATCTGGTTCGCAAATATCTATAGGTTTTAAGATCGATTCAAAATCAGCATAAATTACAAATGGAACTCTTAGTTGCTTATCATAATTTTGAAACTTAAGTATATTTTCAGGCACATAATTGCCGCGTTTGTTTTGTTTCGGCTATACTGATGGCGTGCAGGTATATATATGATTACAATCGCGCAACTGATGCCGCAATAGGGCGCTTTCAGATGGAAAATAAAGTAAACATCCATCACAAAAAAATTTTTTATGACCATTTCTAGTTATTTGACTCGAGACTAACCTGGAAAGATTTTTAATCCAACAGTAGTGACTATTATCCGAATCCTCCGTTATTAGTAGTAAATTTATATGATGACCTAACCTTCTACGGGAATATCGTAATGGGCCAACTATCTCAAATTTCACCTTACCATTTTCATAACTACGTTCTAAGCCATAAACATTAACACTTATATCATTTAAGTCTTCAAATTTTGAAATGTCTTTAAGCTTCATGGGAAATTCAATACCTACAACATTCAGCACGGTCTCGAAGTGTGGATACGATGATGTTTGGCTAACATGGTCTCTCGCTGGATACAGTGCCGATGTGATGGCCCAAGCAAAGTAATACGCATCATTATTTTGCACATTAACTACACCCTTCTTGGTTTCAATAAACTTGGGGAGCTTTATGTACGAGCAGCCGCCTAGTGGAGAGTACTTATTTATGTTTACTTCTAAAAATAGTACTTCCTGTAATGACCACCCTAAAACAATGAATACTTTATTAGTTAACATTATATTATGCATTAAAAAACTATTATACCTGAATCCTTATGTTGAAAGTCCGCAGTTTGAGATACCACGGCGTCCTTAAAGTCTGCATATACCGCATCCAACTCTGTCGACAAATCTAGTATTCGATTTATGCTGTTAAAAGATTTGATTTCGGAAATATCTTGGCTTTGCAATACGTAATACTTTGCAATAAGTAGCGAAGACCTCTACATTAACTTTAATAGCACTATGGGCCCTCAGGACAACTTTTAACAATTCCAATATTCTAAATTTTATCGCATCAAAAAATGTTATATAATCTATATGCTTTTCATCACTTTTGACTCTGTAACTTGCGATTCTGCACTTAAACGCACTCTGAATTAAATATATACCATCGGCTTGAATTGTGCAGGCTTTTTCTTTATGGCCAAGACTCCTCATATGCGATGACATCTGATTAGTAGGGATGTCTACATCACATGATTCACATCTCCCATTATTCCTTTGTGAGTCTACGGTGCGATGCGTATGTACTTGTGGAACTCGCACTACCCGGGCATTTTTTACGGGTAGAACATCAGGGCTGGAAGTGGCGGATCTTTTCGTTCCTCTGGATGATTCACCAGTGCGATTAGATATCATCTTACAACTTTTATTTTGATGTCGATGTAAATTATCTATCCTTGTAAATGTTAAACCACAATTACACTTATACATGTCTATTATTTTACTAATATTTCGGTATTAGATAATGGAACTTAAAACTCACGATTTTAAACTGATTTAATTTGGATATGCACGCTACTATATACCCTCTCTAAAAATTCCCACCTCTCCTATGCTCCCCTCCACTATTCCTAATATACAAGTCTGAAGATGCGCGAAGGGCGGGGTTCTACCCCTTCCATCAATGTTTACGTTGCCCGTGTCTGCCGAAGACTAGCGCTTCACTCTAGCTATGGCGGTTGAGAGTCAAGGATGTGGTTAGACATGGACTTATTTTCCCTATGCCACAATAGTATTCACTGAGATGTATTTAGACTAAACTCATTATATGATATACATAGTACTTACTATCTAAGAGGTACTTACACTTCGATGAGTATGGGTACTTACCATGGTCATTACACATTATGTGATACACATAGTAAATACTCCCTGAGAGGTACTTACACCTCTATGTATATGGAGTAATGAGAGGTGTTATTACACTACGCAATTACACTATGCAATTACACTTATTACAGTACATGATAGTAATTGGGAGGTACTTGCTAATTGCGCGAAGGGTGGGGGGTGGGTACTTAGGATAATTACTAATTACCCAATTACCTCTCTCTGTACCTCTGACCTTGGTCCAGAACTGGCTAATCTCATCTACTCCCACACCTTCGGATTTAAACTGTTGCCGAGCCACTGCTGCACTTGTAAATATATACGCAAGCTCAATCGCAGGTTTATCACTCGTGCACACATCTTTGGGTGCCCCGTAAAGAGCCAAAGCTAGACGAAGCCCATGATCTATTAAATTATCCATGGATATATGTGTATGGTTAAATATTTCTGCAAACCCATGTAAATCATCGGATTTCTTAAACAAACAGAATTTTACTTTCCCTCGATAGAAAAATGATGAGGTAGTGTCGCATCCCGTGAAAGCATGTAGAAATAATATATGAAATCTGATGCACGCGCTTCTGGATGCTAAGCTCTCGGAAGAATAGACAACAACAGGTACTCTAGCGGAAGACGGCTTCAACAAGAACACTTCTAGATTCGGTGGAGTCCGAGCAGCAAGCATTGTTAAGACGTCAGTGTTTTCCGAAACAATAACCACTTTATTGTTGCGGTTTTTAAAAGCAGTCTCAATGGCCTTGAGCACAATATAAACATCCGCATCAGCTACACTCTGATGAGACATTATATAAGCCCGTTTCAATTTCTTCTGGAGAAATTTAATAAGCCGGGACTTATTTTTGCTATTTCCTAGAAACATGACCGTCTAGGAATCTGGAGTCATGTGTAAGGTGGCGAAATTTTTATGCATGCATCCCCATGGTAACGATACTCTAGTCTCTTTATAGCTTTGGTGCCTCTTTTAAATTCAGTTTCGAGGCACAAAAGACTTCCAAAGCAATTGTTTTTATAATAGGTGTAATATTTATTTATTTAATATTCAATCAATATTTTTAATATTTATACCCCCTGGTAATTCTAATGCCATAATTGAATTCGGCATCCCCGAAAACCCCCCGAGTATCGATTTTATATTGATTTTCATGGACGCTGCCATTTCTCTCCCAATCACCCCCAGACAACCCCACATAGCCACCCCCGAGCGCCACCGGGGAAATCTAATGCTAGAATTGAATTCGGCATCCCCGAAAATCCCCGATTAACGAGTTTGGAGCGCTTCCCATCGATTATACAATTACCCCCCCCAGAATGACCCTCGGATACCCCTCGGATACCCCCCGGATATCCCCGCAGAGCGGCCCCCGAGTAATTCCAATGCCAGAATTGAATTCGGCATCCTCGAAAACCTCCGAGTAACGAGTTTGGAGCGATTTTCATGCACGCTGCCATTTCTCCCCCAATCCCACAATTCACCCTTGGGCACCCCCACAGAGCCACCTACACGGGTAAGTCTAACGCCAGAATCGAGTTCGGAGCCCCGAAAACCCCCTAGTAACGATTTCCAAGCAATTTTTCCGAGTTTCCAGTCGTTACCATAATGGTGCAAGTAATGATGCAATTTGAAAATGCATTTTCCGGCACAGAAAGCACATTCCAAAAAATGGCTAAACTAAACGATATAGACTTTTTTTCTGGGACCTTCCTGAATACAATGCAGAAAACCGCATCTCGATATCTGCTGTCCCTAAAAATTTCCGCTATTTTTCCTAACTTCCCTGGACTATTTATGCAGTTCTTCTCCAAACTAGTGTAATGAATTCCGATCCCCATATTGTTGTAGGCCAGGGGTCCTATTCTCGAATGTCTATTAAAAATGTCGCATTCGTCATAATGTCTACTACTAATGTCTATCAAAATGTCGATCGACTGACACTATCCATATTCTCAAAGTACAATCGACAATTTGTAATCGGTGATATATTTGGCGAATGGTAACATCTGGCAACATTGGATAGAAACATACAAGACGAGTAATATTACAGCACACAATTACTTGAAGGATCCCTTAGTTATACAAAGTAATACTGCAAATATATTCCAAATATATGTCTTTTTGATAAATACTAATTAGAAAGTAGAGTAAATATAATCTTTTAACTAAAATTTCATAAGAAATTAAATAAAAAATTGGAAGTACATTTTGGTAAGAGATTAAATAGTAAGAATATATTATCACAGTATAATATAATCTAAACATTACATAAAATGTCTGTGATATAATCTTTTTACCTGCAATTTGAAAAAATAGAACTATATAAAGGACAATGGGCAAAAATGTATGGGAAATTGCCCCACCTCCAATAAGGATAAGTTATATATCAATTGAAGGATCTTTTTAAGGAGAACATTTTTCTTCATTACGACTCATCTCAACTACTTGTCCATTTCGAGTTATACCATCCTAAATGTAACTAATTGCAAGATAGGCCAGTGCTTATATTCTGTTATTGTAGTGCTTATCACAGGAAAATAATAGTAATTATTACTTATTAGTAATATATAAACAATTATAATATCCTGGTATATCATAAGATGCTGTCGAGGATTTTATCCGCCACATGTATCCCTTACCAAATGGCCTCTTCGTGTTGGTTACACAGCCCTACATATGCTCTCCAACGGACCAGGACCAATGGTTTAAGACCAAGGTAATGGACTAACATAATAATGCAATCATAATAGTATATTATGCAACGATCATGTAATGATGGTTATTAATACACGAGCATTAACCGGGATACGAAACGAGCCAAAGGCGAGTTTCGTATGGTTTATGCGAGTGTTTTAATAACCATTACATGAGAGTTGCATACGCTATTTTTTCTACACCCGATAAATAATCAAGACCTATAAATATTATATTTATATTGGTATTGAACACAATAACAGTAATTACTCGTATTTCTATAAAAAATTCTACAAAATTGTAATTAATGGTATTACTTCAGGTATTGGTATTTCCCTAGATTTTTGCGGTAAAATATTTTGTACTGTATTTTCTGCTTTCTCCGATATGTGTGGAGGAGTCTTCTATATCGCTAATATCAGACATTTTAATATTATAATTATCGAAGTTTAGCTACCTACGAAAATTTAATACGTTTTGACAACTAAAATAATTACATAGGAACCTAGGACAAACGTCAAACAGCATGCTTGATTGAAAAATTGTAGGTTTCTATTGATTAAAAATCTGTATCGTAATGAAAAATCTGTATCATAATGGGTATCATTATGAAACGGATTATGGGCATATAAGTGCATTATTATAATACGGGTGTAGAAAAATATTATTACCCCATTAAAATTAGAACGAATATAATGCCATTTGTAACATATACAGGGTGTGGAGGGGGCATCCTATACGCATTGGTCTAGACTATAACATAATTTTTTTCAAATTACCTTTATACAGAAATATGTATATCTGTTGGAGCCCTAATTAAAAAATATTTTGGAATTTACAGTGTGCTTCAAAAAGTTTTTAACTAAAAAAGTATTAACATTGAAGAATTTTAAACAATACAACCGTTTTAATTACTTAGCGCAATATAATATCAATACAAAATGAACGTAATAAGTAGAAGGCAATTCTCATGCTAGCTAGTACATGGCTCGCATGAAAAATGTCTTTCAGCTAAACGAAAGTTAGATTATATTTTTTCATTTCGAGATTTAAGTTTTTGTTTAGTTGTTACAATGACAATTGTCCATAGGGCAACAGTTGTTCCGAAACTGATTTCAGCGAAAGTTTAATTAAATCATGTATAAGTTGGCAACTATGCATTTCCATACCAATGAATTTGTTTTTTTTATTTAGTCGTTACCATGATAAGTCTCCCTATGGCAACAGTTTGTCCTTAACTGATTTAAGCTAAATTAAATCATCTATAACCTGACAATTACGCGTTTCCTCACCACATGATTTGGGTTTTTGTTTAGTCGTTACCATAACAAGCGTCCCTATGGCAATAGTTTCCCCATAACTAATTAAAGCTAAACTAAAGTTTAATAATAATATAACTTGGTAACTACGCATTTCCTTACCACGGGATTTGGGTTTTTGTTTAGTCATTACCATGGCAACGTTTCTGCACAACTGATTTTAACTAAAGTTAAATGAAAATTAAATCATCTATAACTTGGCAACTTCGCATTTCTTCACCACGAGATTTGGATGTTTTGTGACATACAGGTATGGGAAACCTTTTTATTATTGGTTTTATGAAAAAATTCATTTGTAATAAAAAGTTCTACATAGTCCAACACTTAAAATGCAACTATCAGATATCAATTTTTTTTAAGCCGTATACGAGGTTTGTCAATACAGGAGAATGTTATAAAATAGAGGTATTTTGAATCAAAAATATGGAATTATACCCATTTAGCTTAAAATTCAGGTTTGGTGATTATTTATTTATAGCTACAAGTAATTTATAATGTAGAACGTAAATAATCACCTAACCTGAATTTTTATGCTAAATGACTGTATTTGCATATTTGGATATAACTTTTAATTTTAAATAACTTTTTAACATTCTTCTATATTTTAAAAAATAAGGTACTTTACTCTTGAGTAAATTCATATTTTTTGATAAATCCCGTATACGGCTTAAAAAAATTGATATATGATAATTGTATTTTAAGTTTTGGACCATGCAGAACTTCTTATCAACAATAATTTTTTTCAGAAAACCAATATTAAAAAAAAATTCCATATGGTTTTAACTTACGTAGACACAATGTATAACTCGGAACGGACAGACATTTGAGAGAAGTCATAATAAAAACAAATGTTCTTCTTACCGATATCTTTTATCTGGCATATATCTTACTCCTATTGGGAGGTGGGGCAAAATTGCCCATTCTCCTTTCTTAATGACAGGTATTACATCTCTTTCATGGGCCGATTCCTTAAAGAGCAAAAAAGGCCTTTTTAGCACATTGATGCTTTTTCCAAAGGTTATTTCGCATTTCTTATTCTCAAGGGCCTACAGACTGATGCCCACTGACTTAGGCATACTGAATGAGGCCCAGTGATTGAGGCCCGATGCCTAAACAAGCATCCACTGCCCGAACGAGGACCCACTGCCCGAACGAGGCCCGCTTCCTGAAAGAGAGCCCTCAGCTTGAACGAAGGTCTACCGGTCTTTTGCCGGTAGACCTTAGGTGAAATTATAAATAATCATTTCATATATTTTTAAGAACAATTTGTACAATACTTATTTTCATTTCTCTTAAAAATAAATATAAACTGTCACTGTCACGACCCTCATGACATTATATTTAAAAAGGCATGCGACATTTCAATGTCGACTGGTTGAATACCACTCGACTTTCGGTCATATGCACCATTCTACTGTTAATAGTTATCAGAGAGTTAACTACATAACTGACTGTTAAATTGACAATTTTGTATTCACCATTTAAAAATACATCAATCTGTTAAAGGCGTTGTTAATATAACAAATCAAATTTGGCCTGTTAATTTTACTTATCAGACTGTTATAATTTTGCTTGTTTGTTTTGAAGGGCTAGAAGAGGTTTCATAAAAAATGGACAGTAAATAGATGATGTATAGCAAATTCTGTTAACACACTGTTATTTTTTATACTATTGTTAGATAACAGAGGACTTAACTGGACAATGCTGCATATGGTCGTTTTTTATGTCTAACAACAAATGTCGAATTCGACTTTCCAGAATACGTTTTTGCGTTCTTGTTCGACATATCATCAATGTCGCGTGTGACATTTAGAAATAGACATTCGAGAATAGGGCCCCAGTTCTCATTCACAAAATGTAGAAATTGGTAAATGGCAATATTCGTTTTAAGCTGGGAACAGTGGACAGTGCACACTTATTTCAGGAGTCTTAATAAACTGTTTTAGGTGTATACTGTTTGAAATAATGAAAGAACTTTTAAGCTAATTCAACTGAATACATTATGATTTTTCTACACCCACATGTACGTACCTATATTATTTATTCTACGCACAGACTACTGAACGAAAAAGTAGGCCATTGAATGAATATATTTATCCATTCTATGAATAATACTGTACAGATATGAAATTCACCAATCACAGTTCATATTTGGTCACCAGGATACTATTATCAAAGAATACCTACCCAAGAAGCGAAACTAAATGGGAGATTCGTGGACAAAAAATTGCCAAGTTTTCTCAGTGTTTTAGAGGTAGTTTAACGTCAAATATGCTGGCAGTGTATGTAGAGCAACGTTTGGTATATTATTATTAGCGTTTTGTGAAAATTGCAGTATAGTTAAGTAGTTGTATTTAACTAAGTAGTAATTAGAAATTAGATAGTTTTAAAATTTGTATTACATGTTCATAAATTTTATTGAACGTTCTTGCATCTAACTGTAATTTTTTTTATTCTAAATCAGTATTAAGTACCTATAATTATAATTTACGCCTACGTT